GTGTGTCTTTTCTCATACCAGTATCATGCATATGTTCTTTAATTCTGAAATAATTTGGCAGTTTTTCGGATATCTTCCAATTAATTAATTTCTGATTTAATTCTGTTTTCATGGAAAAACACATTCTGTATGGTTTCTACTGATTGAAAATAGTTGAGGTTTGTTTTGTAGCTCAAAATATGGTATATACTGGTGAATGTTCCGCATACACTTATATGAAAAGTATGTTCTGCTGTTCAGTGCAACATTTCTGTAAATGTCTTTTAGGTCTTGTAGTGTTTTACGGCTCTTTTATGTTCTTCCTGATTTTCTATTTACGTATCCTATCAATTACTGATAGTGGATTATTGAAGTCTTCAACTCTGATTATGGATTTATTTTTTTCAGTTTCCGCTCTTTATTTTGAAGCTCTGTTAAATTGCATACACACTTAGGGTTGTTATGTTCATAGGGATAACCTATATCGTTAGGTAATGCTCCTGTTTATCGTCCCTTATAGTCAAAGTCCACTTTGTCTGATATTAGTATAGTTTCTGCAGCTGTATTTTAGTTATTGATTTATGGTATATCTTTCTCTAGACTTTTACTTTCAACCTATTTATGTCTTTATATTAATATTTAAAATGCATTTTTATGTACACTGTATATATGGGTCTTGCTTTTTATTCAATCCTAGTCATTTCTGTCTTTTAATTTATGTGTTAGACGACCCCTTTTAATGTTATTATTTGACTAGTTGGAATAAAATGTACCATATTGGCAGCTGTTTTCTGTTTGTTTCATATTGGGTTTCAGTTTTCTTTTTATGCCTTCTCTAATATTAATCAAGTGTTTTTTATGATTCTGTTGTATTTCCTCTATTGACTTATTTATACCTTTAAAAATTTTTTTTTTTTTTTTTTTTTTTTTTTGAGACGGAGTTTCACTCTTGTTACCCAGGCTGGAGTGCAATGGTGCGATCTCGGCTCACCGCAACCTCCGCCTCCTGGGTTCAGGCAATTCTCCTGCCTGAACCTCCTGAGTAGCTGGGATTACAGGCACGCGCCACCATGCCCAGCTAATGTTTTTTGTATTTTTAGTAGAGACGGGGTTTCACCATGTTGACCAGGATGGCCTCAATCTCTTGACCTTGTGATCCACCTGCCTCGGCCTCCCAAAGTGCTGGGATTACAGGCTTGAGCCACCGTGCCCGGCTTCCTTTAAAAATTTTTAGTTGTCTACCTTCAAATAATATTCCATTGTTTTATATGGAGCCTAAAGACTTTATTGCAGTATATACACGGCTCCTTCTTTCCATCTTTTATGCTATTGTGGTCATACCTTTTTACATTTACATTTACTATGAACGCATAGTACATTGTTACTGTTTTTGTTTTAGACATCAGGTATCTTTAAGAGCAATTTGAAAATAAGAAAAAAGCCTGTATCCTCATTTAGTCTATTTTCACTGCTCTTTGTTTCTTTGTGTAGATCCAGGCTTCCCATCTGATGTTATGTTCCTTCTGCCAGAGGAACTTCCTTAACATTTATTGTCCACTAGGTCAAGCAGCTGGCCATCAATCCCCTCAGCTTTTGTTTTTCTAAGTCTGTATTTCTCTTTCATCTTTGAAAATTATTTTCAGTGGGCATAGGATTCTGGATTTGACAGTTTTTCTTGATGTTGTATTTTTTATTTGCACCGTTTTCATTCACTTGTTTTTAGTTGTTTTAATCTCTCAGCTGAAAGTCCCGTCTGTTACTGTCTACGTTTCCCTTTAGAGCCTTCGGCATGTTAGTCATAGTTATTTTTAATTCTTGGTCATTTCTCATTTTGGTGTCGTATCTGACTGTGGTTCTGATGATTGATTTGTCTCTTTGGAGTAATTCTTTTCTTGCCTTCTTGCATGCCTTGTAATTTTGTGTTGAAAGCTGTACATCTTGCGTAAGACAGTAGAGACCCGTGGAAGTGGTTTGTATGCCTAGAAATGGGCATACCTCTCCTTCCTAGAGGCCTTTAGTGTGGAAGTTCGAGTTTATCTGCTTGGGAATGGGCTGGGTATGAGAGAATTATTGTCACAACAGCTATCCTCACTGCAGCAGAGGCTTCACGTTTCTGTAGAGATACCTTGTGTTTTGGGTGGGGGTTGGATCACAAGAACGTCTTCTGTTCAGTTCTAGTTTTAGGTCTTCCTTTTGCACTGTGCCTCAGAAAGGGGGTCTCTGCACATTCTTGTTCTCCTGTTTCTTTCCTAGCACTATTTTGTTACCTTAATTCTAAGCCCCTTAGCTTGGCATTGTGGGGTGATGAGGAGGATGGGGTGCTGTCTCTGTTCCAGTTGAGTTTCAGTCTCATACCTGCACCATTGTCTTAGGTCTCTGGGCTGTGGCCTTTTCAGTTGTGCTTCCCCTACCCCAAGTGTTGCAGGGGTTTCTGTGTAATCCTGTGCCTCCCCAAGGAGTCAAGTTGTGTGTGTGTGTTTTTCCTGTTCCCATTCCCCACTGCAGAGTTTTCACGGGTGTCCTAAGGATAGCCGTGCATGTTGCCCTTCTCACAGGCTAGGTCTTCCTTTTTCCTGGTGGAGACAGGGGAGATGGATCCCGGTGGAGCTCTCTGCCACTCCTGTATGGTTACTGCATCTCTCCCCCGTATCTGGACCACAGTGGACACTTCTTACCACCCCTTCCTGTAAGCACTTGGGAGGTGATCATGACATAGATCCTGTGAGAGAATGTAACCCCCAGAGGTTTCACACAATCTTGGCAACCCACTCTTGACTTTAAGCAGATACTTGAGCGCAGGACTCCTCTGACCAGGGTTCTGTTTTGTCTGCCCTTGATGACACAAACTTGTGTCTCCTTAGATACTGGGACCTCAGCTTATTGATGGTTTGGAAAAAGTCATAAATTTAGTTAGGCCGTGTATGTGTGTGTGCGCGCATGCGTGCATTTGTGTGTTTAACATAAACAAGTCCCATCCTCATTAGACTTTATAGCAAGATCAGCCTTGAATGAAATCGTTTCTCGCCAGTAACTTGTTCTTCCAGTCATCCAGTTCTCTCTAGTCTTTTTAAAATTTTTTATTTCAAAGAAGATGCATCTCTGGGGAAAAAAAAAAAAAAAAAAAAAAAAAAACCTATTTTGCTACTGATGTGGCAAATTCAAGTTTTTGAGGATGACTCGAATTTTAAAATGCCAAACACCAGGCAAGGTAGAGAAGTAGCTGAGACGCAGGACTCTGGGCATTTACCCAGAAATCACACATTCTGTCTCTGCAGAGGCCCCTAGAGCCATTCCGTACATTGTTATTATTTTATTTCATTACTTATTTTACAGCATAATAGAACCCTAAAAGCAAAAGGCTTGTGAAATCACGTGCTAAAAGAACCTAAATACATGTTTCATCTTTGAGTTTTTCAATTGTAAAAGTAGCACACATTTGCGATAAATGATGTAAAGTGTCGAGTTCTTTTCATCCTCTGGGAATAATCACCCTCAGGTCTTTTGTATGGGTCGTCTGAGACTTTTCCCTAAGAACTTATTTTTGTCGTATACAAGGAAAAAGTAGTAAAAAATTAATATCTCGGCTGTTTGGGAAAGGAAGCCTATTGCTTGTTGCTCTGTTTATATTTTTTTCTCTCTTCAAAAAATACCTGTTAAGTGCAGAATGTATCGCAGCTAAACTGTACATTGTCTAATGTCATCTTTATCATATCTCAGTGACATTCCTCCCCATAACTAAAGTTTATTGAGCTTTCTGTGGAAAAGAGCCTCTAATTTGCAAGGCTGTTGAAAATGTGAAGAGTGGAGAAGTTCCACATGAGCTTAGGAGAATTTTGAAGCTATTTCCTGTATCATCTTGAAGATTCCTTGTTAAACTCAGTTTCACATGATGTTATGAGGCTGATATTCACGACTTTTAGATAATATCCCCCTTTCTGTGAGAAAGGGGCTGAATCATTTCACAGAAAAAAGTGACAGGAAATTTTAGCATCTCTCTTAGTAAATTAGAAGGCTTACACATTAGGCGAATATGACGACATGAAGGACAGTTGAAACATGCCCGCGTCAACCAAAGGACGAAGCTAAAGCACAAGTCTGATTGAAAGAGTTGACTTGAGCCAGAGTAAGGACAGCTGCCCAGATGACTCACCCACACTGCTTGGCCTTTGTTAACAGGCAGATTTTTAAAGGCAAAACAAAACAAAACAAAACAAAAATGGGGCAGGAGGGCAGGCGGAGGGGGACAGTGTCACCAAGTAGACTGTTAGAAAGTTCTGTCGGGGATTCTCATTGATATGCAGAAGTAACAGTGATCAGTGACCGCCTAGCCATGGCTAAGCGACAGAGTGTGGGAATGAGTGTGCCGCGTTACTAGGTGAATTCACAGCCACCTGTGGCAATGGGAAGCAGCTTCAGTGACGTGGGGAGTAGGATGTGATTGCTGTCTCATCTTAACGCCTCTCTGGGGCCTAGTGATTTGAAAGGGCCCACATTCCTCAGATAAAAGTTCTCCTCTTTCCTCATCTATAATACTATTCAAATCTGAAGAAAATTTATTTTGCTCGCAAATACCAACAGCCATCAGTGTTTTGTGTTTAATTTGTTCAATAAAAAGAAGCTAACAAAACAGAGAAAAAGCTCAGGAAAAGAGTTGCGTTGAACTCTATTAATTGGCTAGGCAGTTGACTTGTGTTTTAAAGATTTTCAAGTGCAGTCTTAGAGGCCTTCATGTCCTTGTCTCTTGATTCCCCTCCGCCTGCCTCCTTCCCCTTCCGAGTCGTGTCGCATTCCTCATCCCTGACCTGGCCCTTCCCACAGAGCCGCCCTCCTCGGAATCCTGATGGCCGACTCCCTACTCTTCCCCAGCGCCTTCTCCTCAGCCAGGACAGAGGCTTGTTGTGGGCAGGGTCCTTGTCTTTTATAATCCTCACAGAGCTGCCAAGCCAATTAAAAATTTTAAAAACAGCATTTGTGCACTTGCAAAGCATTCTATCACATACCTTCTTGGTTGTTCTTATTAGATGAAAAACAGAGATTCAGCTATGAGCGGTCTGGATATGATCTTGAAGAATCTGATGGCCCAGATGAGGACGACAATGAAAACGAAGACGATGACGAGGACAGCCAAGCTGAATCAGTCCTGTCGGCTGCACCCTCGGTCACAGCCAGCCCGCAGCACCTCCCATCTAGAAGCAGCCTTCAGGACTCTGTGAGTGCTGATGAGGACAGCAGGATCACCGATTGCTTTTCTGGGGTACACACGGACCCAATGGATGTTCTGCCCAGGGCGTTGCTCACCAAAATGACCGTACTGAGCACAGCACAGTCTGACTACAGTAGGAAGACACTCTCTCCAGGGAAGGCCAGGCAGCGCACCGCAAGAGATGAAAATGACACGATTCCATCTGTAGACGCTTCCAGGTCCCCTGAAGCTGCCCCCAGGTCCCCATGTCATCAGATGTCTGTGGACTACCCGGAATCTGAAGAAATTCTGAGAAGTTCTGTAGCAGGAAAAGCTATTGCTGTAACACAGGTAAATGATTGGCAGTTTTCTTTTTAACCTATTAAATATGGGAGCTTAATGGCTTAAGGAAATAATGCACCTAAGTGATTTATTTAGGCCAGATTAGTTTGTGTGGCTTTATTATTTTTTTTTCTTGTATTTAAGGGCAGAGGACATTTTCACCCTTTGGAGTCTAGTTGAGTATGCTAATAAACAGTTGAAGTATTTTATTGTGAATCTGTGAAAGAACCAAATGGTTCTTGAAAAATATACCCATTTATTTTTATTGGCTTTTTGAAAAATTTCTGAAATTAAAAAAAAAAAAAAAAAAAAAACATATGTGACAATGGCAAACATAAGTCCCACAACTGATTTATCCACTGGCTCCTTCTGAGCTGTTTTTCCATATCAGGTGCTGATATGATGGCATTTCAATGAATTATCCAAACATGTAGGACTTTGCCCCCATTGGCAAGACAGCTACCAGTTTCTATGGCAAAGTTAATGTGACCTGAAAACACATCAAGAAGTTCACTTTGCTTGAATGATCACATTGCTACAGCAGCTTGGGAGAGCTTTCTGCCCAAGAACTAGCTCAGGGCAGACACAGGCCCCCAGAAAGTCACGCTCCTTGTGCTGTGAGTCCCCGCTGTACCTCTGGCTGTTTTGTGACAAATGATTAATTCTGGGAGGAATGCGTTCTTCTCTCATTGACAGTTCTCCTACCTCTAGTATGTATTGAATATTGCAGTAGGATTTATTTCTACTTGTGGCAGATTTTAGTTTGCTAGGGAAGACTGGAGAAAAAATAAAAGACCATATGAAAGCTTGGATTTCTACAGACTATCTAGTCTAAATTCACATAGTTTAGTTATATTACACTGATGTTAACTTACCTTAATAAATTAGATTAATATGTAAATTGATGTAGCTCTTTAATATAGATAGATATTATCAAGAAAAAGCTAATATTTAGATAATAATCTTGGGTGGAAGGGAGGATGGGCTGGATTTATTTCGTCCGGTTACAGTTCATTTCTTTAGTATTGGCTGCCTGTGCTATACGCGTCTCTATCCCAAACCCTCTCAGACACTTAGCCGTGCCTGGAAACCTGGTTTTCAGCAGACATTTCATAAACTTGCGAATGAATAGACAAACATCCGGAGACCTTTTTCTTAGAAACACCTCTGTACAAATAATTCTTGGGTTCGCTTTTTTCCCCATTGACTTGACGCAGCCAACTAAGATCTCTCAATTTCTAAATAACTCTTAATCTCTAAAATAAGGTGGAGCTGGTAGTGCCAGAAACAGAAAGAATAACAAAAATGACAGCACGACAACATAGCTGTGTCCACTTCTCAGGGTTATTCTCTGTGTACAATGTGGCAAAATCCAGGGCGTTTGCTTGAGACATGCAAAAGACCATACAAGACGTATTGCCATTATTTCTACTAGAAAAGAAAAAAAATAAAGATGTAATAGATTTTTTAGTTGGAAGTTTATTTATTTATTTATTTTGTGTTTGTTTTTTTTTTTTTGAGACGGAGTTTCGCTCTTGTTACCCAGGCTGGAGTGCAATGGCGCGATCTCGGCTCACCACAACCTCTGCCTCCTGGGTTCAGGCAATTCTCCTGCCTCAACCTCCTCAGTAGCTGGGATTACAGGCACGCGCCACCATGCCCAGCTAATTTTTTGTAGTTTTAGTAGAGACGGGGTTTCACCGCGTTGACCAGGATGGTCTCGATCTCTTGACCTCATTATCCACCCGCCTTGGCCTCCCAAAGTGCTGGGATTATAGGCGTGAGCCACCGCGCCTGGCCGGAAGTTTATTTTTAAAAATCAAAAAATAATTTCATTGCAGCAAACATCATTTTTATCCATGCAAATACACATACTTTTACCTCCTTGTGAAGAAGTAGATTTAGTACTAGCGTCATGGCTCAGTGACTAGGAAAGACCTGTCATAAAAGGATTGTTCTCTCGTCATTTAGAGCCCATCATCTGTAAGACTTCCTCCTGCTGCCACGGAGCACAGCGCCCAGACAGCAGCGGGGATGCCTTCTGTGGCCTCGCCGCATCCGGACCCTCAAGAACAGAAGCAGCAAATAACTCTACAGCCGACTCCAGGCTTGCCTTCTCCCCAGACTCATTTGTTTAGCCACCTTCCTTTGCATTCCCAGCAGCAATCAAGGACACCTTATAATATGGTTCCAGTCGGGGGGATCCATGTGGTACCCGCTGGCCTCACCTACTCCACGTTTGTGCCCCTTCCGGCTGGACCAGTGCAGCTCACGATCCCTGCTGTCAGTGTCGTCCACAGAACTTTGGGTACTCCCAGGGATACGGTCACAGAAGTGTCTGGCACTACAAACCCGGCTGGAGTGGCTGAATTAAGCAGCGTTGTGCCATGTATTCCTATCGGCCAAATCCGCGTGCCAGGCCTTCAGAACCTGAGTACCCCAGGCTTGCAGTCGCTCCCCTCGTTAAGCATGGAAACTGTCAATATTGTAGGCCTAGCCAACAGCAATCTGGCCCCGCAAGTCCATCCACCGGGACTGGCTTTGAATGCCGTCGGACTGCAGGTTCTGACGGCAAACCCTTCCCCACAAAGCAGCCCCGCCCCTCAGGCACACATTCCAGGTCTCCAGATCTTGAACATAGCATTGCCCACCTTAATCCCCTCGGTCAGTCAAGTAACCGTGGATGCACAGGGAGCTCCTGAAATGCCAGCTTCCCAAAGCAAAGCGTGTGAGACACAACCCAAGCAGACTTCTGTAGCTGGTGCAAACCAGGTCGGCAGGACCGAGTCTCCTCAGGGGTCACCTCAAGTCCAGCGGGAAAATGCAAAAAAAGTTCTGAATCCACCTGCCCCCGCAGGTGACCAGGCAAGGCTTGATGGCCCAAGTCAAATGGACACAGAGAAGGCTGCCTCGGCAGATCACGTGAAGCCCAAGCCTGAACTCACTTCCATACAGGGCCAGCCAGCGTCTGCGTCACAGCCTCTGCTGAAGGCACAAGCTGAAGTTTCTGCAAAGACCTCAGGCCAGCAGACCCTCTCTCCAGACAGGCAGGTGCCCAGGCCCACAGCACTGCCCCGGAGGCAGCCCACCGTGCATTTCAGTGACGTGAGCAGTGATGATGACGAGGACAGGCTTGTGATAGCAACCTAATGGGTTTTATTTTTTATTGCTTTTTTTTAAGTAACACTTAAAGGTTTCTTTGAAAACCCTCTTTCCTTAAAGCACATTTTTCTGACATAAACTCATGACTAATCTTTGTGCAGTCATGAACTTTTGACCAATAATTGTTGTTTTGTGTCAGCTCCAGCCATTTTTGTACATGTTGTATAGACAATCGTGCCTTTTAGGAGCTTTATGTTTAGAAACTGTACAGATTGTTGAATATCTATATACATAAAAATATATATGTACATGAAAACCAGGTAGTTATTTGTGTTTAGTAAGGAAAACCTGTCAAATAAATCAAATGATTAAATTATATGTTCCACTGTTGAATATAAATTTTATGGCTATGGGGCAGAGTTTCTGTGTATAAATTAGTATGTAAACTCCATATTTATTGTATTCATCTTAGTCTTTGAAAATGGGTCTGTCCTCCTTGTGTAAGACAGTAACTTTACACTTCGGATTTTCTGTGTTATGAAATGTTCCAGTAAAATATTGTTTACTGACTTTACCATTGCTCAGTTGTGCCTTCTTTACATCATCCAGTGATCTGCATTTGGAAAATCGCCCTAGGTTCCATTCTTTCCACATTCTCCTCAACCCTCAGGTTTTTTTTTTTTTTTTTTTTATAAACAGAGACTTTAGTAGCCTTTCTACCATGTGAAACTGTAACTAAAATCCGTACAACTGAGAGACCTATTTTTCCTGTTTGTGAGAAGTCATTTTATAGTTATTATTAGAAGACTAAATAGGTAAGAATACTTTCTCTAAGTACATAAAGCACGTAGCCTAAAATAGGCAACCTTCCTAGATGAGGGTGTGGAAATTTCTGGGGAACATGAGTTAAAACCCATTGTTCTTAGAGTTTGGCTCTGATGAGGCTCATGTAACCCCATTCCCAGGCTCCAACGCCAGATCTGTTCATGAGCTATAGGCTCTTCTTTCCCTTGGTCCTGTGACACTCATAGAGCTCTGTCCAGAACTGAACTGCAGAGGGCCCAAGTTACGGAAGAACCAAATTCAGACTTCTAAATTACCTAAGTAACTCTTTAGGCATTACTAATTCCTGTCCTGGAAATTTAAACCATCCTTATTCAGAAAAACGAGGAGGCATGGGGAGCCCCCAACTACCACTGCAGTGATATGCATTATTAATGATTACAGATGCTAGGTTTCTGAGAAAGGTGTTTTAATGTTGGAATTTGAATAGTTAGCACATTACTAAGGCAATGTATTCACACTTTTAAAGGCCTGCTTACAAAGATTGCAGAGACATAAAGTAGGTAAGACAACAGCATGGTGTGTGGGGTGGGAGGTAGGGATAGCCTATCTGCTAAGGGGTTTGCAGACCTACTGCCAGCCAACCCCAGCTTCACGTCTGGGACTTTGCAGAGACTCCTGGCATTTTAACTTGCTTATCCTTACCTAAATTAGGATCTCCAAAGGTGTGCTGTGGTGCCAGAACGTTCTGGTGCATCTGTGATGCTTTAAATGCATGCTTCAATTTACATGTACATATTTATGCAGGTTAAGTAACAAAATTCTCTCAGAAACAATAGAAATACATTTTATATTCTGAGATAACTTTGGAAAGAATTCTGGAAACTTCTGCTCTAGGGATTGCATTGCCCTATCAATAATAGTTGTTGAAAATGAGGTGTGTGATCTGTCCAATTTCTCAAAATTAATGTTTTATTTAACCTTGTGTTGTGAATTTAACTTTTTATTGCCTAGAATTTTAAAGCAGTCTAATAAACATTCTTAACTCCATAGTCATACTTTTAAGTACAGATTACTTCTCTAAATTCACAAATAATGCTTGGAATTTTTAGCTTTGAGTTTTTTTGTTTCTAAAGAATTTTCTTAATTTAAAAAATTCCCACACTGAAAGACTAAGTGTTGTGAGATGAGTCGACGTTTCCTTGAAATTTTCTTAATGCTATAAATACACCTGACTCTTATTTTGTACTTTTCATGATTCTTATTTTGGGCTTTTCAAAATTCAGTGCATTATCCACATACCTTAAATATTAGCAACTTTCAAGCTTTATTGTGGCCTTTCAAGTATTTTGCCAGTATTTGAAATATGCAGCCATATAGGAAATACTACCAAAGTCTAAGCCATTACATTTTGAAACTACATGCACGAAATAGACAAGGGAATAATTTTGTGCTATTTCTCTAAAGTCATCTTTTCCCAAGGAGCAGTGTCCACTTGATATTCCCAAATAGGAACGACTTGCAAATAATGTAATTCAGAGAACTAGTGGGACTACGTTTTACCTTTATTCTGTTGCACTGTCATGCATGGAGACCCAAGCCTGTACAGAACTAGGGCGCAATGACATAGTAAATCTCTTTGATAATTTATTGACAAAACAGGTGAAAGTTACAATGTGTAACAATTTCAATACCTTGTATGAATCCACTGCAATGCCATCATCAGAAGTATTGGAAAAAACAGCTGAAGAACCAAAGGTCGTTTTTGTAGTTTTCAAAGATTATTATATCTGGCTTATGAATATTTATTGTAACAGATCAAGGGCATTCAAATAACTTACTTTCATTCCTTAGGGTATAAGCCAAAATAATTAACTGATGGTATTTAATGTACAACTTTTGTTTCTCAGTTTTTCATAATATAGACTTGATTTTCCTTTCACAGAAAAAGTATGCATAACACACTTCTTACAAGTTAATCCCTGACCTGAATTTTAAATGATAGCACTTTATAAGGATTATGGAATATAATCATTATTTTTGTTGGAAGACTGTCAAGATAGTTAATAGATCTTGATGCATGCCAGTTCAAATTATAACCTCAGGGCTCTTTTTGACTTTTCTTTTTTCACCTTACATTTTGCAGTCAACTTCAAGTAATACCAGAAAGGTGATTTTTATTAATTTTGTTTCAAAACCATCTATAAATTCTAAACACAGGATGTATATCACCTTAAGAATCTTTTCTCAAAGTGACTTCCCATGACTTAAAGTGTTAAATTTCCTATTTAATATTCAAAGAAGGTATATATATCAAAGCTGAAGATCATATATATATATGTGTGTGTATATATATATATATATATAGTGCAATAACTCCCTGCTGTCATTACCAAGGGGGGAAAAAGAGAAAGAAGGTTTAAATCAAGAACAGTAAAATATTTTTCTCTATAAATTATATACAGACAGTTTACAGCTTAGTATGGTTCCATTTAATGATTTTTCAACTTTACAATGGTGTGACGGTGATAAGCATTCATTAGAAACCATACTCTGATTTTTGATACTTTTCTGTGCTAGCAACATGTGGTTTGATCTCTTATGATGCTGGGCAGCGGCAGGGAGCTGAAGCTCCTAACCAGCCGCGTGATCATAACCACAAACACTCTACAGTGCACTGTATTCAGTACATTACATGAGATATTCTAGACTTTATTTTTAAATAAATGTTATGATATTGTACAGCTGTAGGCTAATGTAAGTGAGCACATTTAAAGTAGGGTAGGCTAAGTTCCGATGTTCAGTAGGTTAGATATATTAAATGCTTTTTTTCATTGTTGAGACAGAACCTTGCTCTTTTTCCTAGGCTGGAGGGCATGGTGTGACCTCGTCTCAGTGCAACCTCTGTTTCCTAGGTTCAAGCAATTCTCCTGCCTCAGCCACCCGAATAACTGGAAATGCAGGGACACGCCACCACACTGGCTAATTTTTGTATTCTTGCTAGAGATGGAGTTTCACTATATTGGCCAGGCTGGTCTCGAATTCCTGACCTCAAGTGATTTACCTGTCTTGGCCTCCCAAAATGCTGGGATTACAGGCGTGAGCCACCATGCCTGTATGCATTAGGCAAAATGCCTAAATGCATTTTTGACTTACTGGATACTTTTGATGTAACCCCAAGGAACATCTGTAATCTGAAAGTCATGATGCATTTACTTAAATATATTGGATTCCTAGGCTTTGCACACACAGGTTTATCTGGAATCTTGCATTAAAGGTTCTGTGGAAGGCACTGAAAGCATAAAAGAGACATTATCTACTCTTAAGCGTTCACTGTCTCCTGAATCAGGTTTGGGTTTGAAGAAAACTGTCAGACATCCAAGATCCAGTAATAATTTAAGTACCAACCAACTCCGAAAGAAATTAGAAGGTACACTTTCTACCCGAGGAGGATCCCTGCTTAAGACAGATCATATAAACTAGGACGTGATAATACACCACATCATAGAAACCACAGACTTTAAAATATATGAGAGTTAATAAAGTTACTGTCTTAATAAATTAAAGAATGATTTGCATATATTGGAGATTGCTGTATTTTGAAGGAGGTATAGGATTTGGGACTTTAGAACAGACATGATGCCAAGGAGCAGAACAAAAATAGCAGAGCCATGAAGTGTAAGCCATGAACGTGTGCCAGGACCAGTCTAAATGGAAGAGAAGATTCACTCAGACATTCAATAATATTGATTGTGCACCAACAGTGTAGAATGAAAATTTGATGCAAATTAAATGAAGCCTGTCATTCAGGAGCTTAATTTCTAGATGATGAGTAAGTGAGCAAGATGCAAGATATCTTGAATGGCAAAAAGAGGTACCACCAAGTGCAGGAGGAGCGCAAATAATGTTGAATTCCAGGCTGAGTTGATGAGGGAGTGCTTCAAAGAGAATGAACCATTTACATATGGCCTTGAAGGGACTTGGTTAAGCAGAGACAGTAGATGAGACAGAACAGACAGAAGCACAATGGAAGAGAATCCATGTTTATCCCTACTGCGTGTTGTCTATAATCTTATGTAATCATTCCAAGCAGGAAGGATTATCTCCTCGTTTTATAGGTGGAGAAGCTGCAACTCATAGCTGTAATGAAGCCTTGCTTTGCAGATGCTTGGATTTGAAAGCAGGATGGTCTGATGCAGCAGCCTAACACGTAAGCAAACCATAGGGAACATGAAAGGCCATTGAGACCACGAAAGCAGACAACATTTTGGGATTTAGCAAGGCATCTGACAAAGCTGCAGTGATATTATGGATTTGATTTAAGGATGGGATATTAATGATTTAAAGAAGATATTAAAGATTGGATTTTTATGGATTGGGTTTATGGTGGGCTCGTCAAGTGGAAAGAGCACTCAGTGTGTCAGAGCACTGTAGGGAAAGGAGCATGGGCTGTGGATTCCAAAAACCATCATCATTCCTTATCTAATGTGCCCAGAACTTATGGGAGGATGAGGCAGTTCCAGAGGACAGAAAAGGAGGAAAGGAAAGTAATGCAGAGGAGGGTGGAAATAGTCACGTTACTCAGTGCTCAGCTGGCCATAGTATCCTTTCTTTTTAGTGGGCCGACTCAATAAAATATAGGAGACATTTGTTGATGACACAAATAGATCAGGATCAGTGTCCAGGAAGATTCAACCAAGTGGAGAGATGGGCTGAATATGGATAAGACAATTTAGCAAGAAAGCAAAAGCCCTGGCACTTGGATTGAAAATTTAAGAGTACTGAAAAACA